CGAGCCTATCTAATTTTGTAGATGAAGAATGAATGTTTGTTTAATCTTCTTGGCCTTGTATCCTGTAATTGGTCCAGTTGGAACATTTGGAACACCGTGATCCTTATCACCTACATCCTAGGCTTCTTACATTCCAAGCGATGTAGTCTGATTCTGCATCCAGGGTTTGCCTTGTAATATAGCATGAATACCTATGCCCAAGGCTTCATGCGTTCCAAGCGACATAGTCTTAATACCTACGCTCAAGGATTCATATGTTTCAAGTAGCTTAGTTTGAGTCATGAACATGTTGTACCATGGGAGGTCTTTGGAGGTTCTTGAATCTTGACTAAGCTAATTTACTCTCTTCCTATATCTATTCCAATGTGGCCCTAGAATACTCCCCATGAAAGACCAAAAAGGTCACATGATCGGTGCAAAACATGAACATAACATCCTGCAAAGTTCTCATTGGGTACCCATAAGATGATGCAGGGCATCTCATCCTGCACAACATGATGCAAGACATCTCATCTAAGTGAGGGAAACATGAGGTCAAACATGACATCTTGCTAAGAAAAACATGGTGCAGAGCATCCCACCTAAAAGAGGAAAACATGGGCATTTAAAAGCATAGCGTGGTGGGAGGTCATGGGTCACATTGGGCATGATTAGAGTATTACCTAGCAGTCGTTCATAGCATGATAACATTAAGGTATGGAGTGTAGTGTCTTATCTTGGTAGTTGTAGAGCTTGTGTAGTACCTTCCTTGGGTTCTCAATCATAAATATGTTATATATTTTTTTTATTTCTCGAGGCATAATTGCAACGTGCATTCTTTAGCTTATGAACCCATCATAGCAATTTGAATGAGTTATTCTAGAAAGTCATAATGTCATGATAAATTCTTTAGAGAATTCTAGAAGAGTCTTTTTTCTTAGATAGGGGTTACTTGACGAGTTTCCTTTAGACGTTTCTTAAGCCCTAACTTGGTTTATGTTCAAAACTTGCTCTAATCAAATTGAAATATTAAAAATGTCCTCATCATGTCCTTAGAAATAGGTCTCGTAAAAAGTAGTAAGTCATTTAGAGCATGTTTAGACCTTGAAATGTCATAAGGTCCTAGGGGCATTTGAGTCATTTTACCCTCTAATTCTTGGTTTAGCTACTTAACCTTATAAATTACTTTCAAACTTCAAAATATCATTAAAAAAATTATAAAATAGGATCTAATACAGCCGAAGATAGATTTCTTTAAGGGCATTATGGTCATTTTAATATAATATTCTCAATGTTAAATTTTCATAGGCATCAGAGTTCATTTAATACGTCATTTTAACGTTATTTAAATTATGAGTAATTCGATAGGTTCAAGGCCTTAACTCTCCGTTCTTGGTGTTTCATATATTAATATATTAGATATTCAAATATATTAGTGTATGTTTCATCTGTATTCTCCAAAAGTATTTGTAAACAAGATTCTTAGATTGAGCCAAAAAAACACCCGAACACTTTCTCATCTTTAGATGATGAAAAGTTCTTTCTAAACCTTTTCATCTGAAATCCCTCGAGATTTTCTTTACAAAAAAAAACTCCCACAAATCTTGTATGCGAGTCACATTGACTTTATGAAGGATATTGAATGGTTGGAGGAGCGGGAGCCACATGATTAAAGCTTTCTCCATATTTCTCCATAGCATCAAAATCAATTCCAATGTTTCAATTACATGACGGTATTGTATATCTACATTATAGTCTTTTACCAACATTGCTCATGTTAAGTTCCTTTTGTATGAATACATATTTTAGACTTTTGTAATCGGTGAAAATTTGAGTTTTATTTCCATACAAGTAATTCTTTTAAATCTTTAGGACGAATACTACCACTCCTAACTCCAAATCTGTGTTGAGTAGTTATACTCAAAATCAAGAACTTGAGCTGTAACCAACCTCTGTTCAAGCTCCTCAAAACACTCTTTACCATCTTAGTTACGTGAACAGACTCCCGTTCTTAATCAATTGAGTAGGAGGGGCAGCTATTTTTTAGAAAGAAAACTACGATAGCAGCCTACTAGACTCACAAATGTACACATCTCGATAATAGTGAACTATTCATTATCCATCTTTATCAATAGTAGCACCATTCCTAAAGTCCAACCATTAATGATTTAACCCTTTTATTTTTATCCAATATATAAAAATATGTAACCACATTACTTTTCACTTAAAAATAAGGTCGTTACTACGTGCATTCTTAAATATTATCGTAGACTTAAAATGTTCATAAAATTCATTTAAAGTTGAATAGTAATATCAAATAGATATTGTAATGCAAATGTCCTATCATAACCTAAACCTAAAGGCTACAATTTAAATGTAGAAATTCACTCCCTTGACTTTATTTCTATGTTTATGGTCTCTTTAGTGCTATCATCTATACATAGATGCCTTATCTTTACTCTTAAATTTAATAATACTCCATCAGCTATATTGTTGAGTAAGAAAATGCAATCACATGGAATCATGGTTCATGGTAGGACTTATTTTTTCATGATTTTTCCTTGGGTTATACCTTTTCTTCTGGTTAAAGTTGGATGTGTAACACTTCTCTATGTATAGTTCATGCATGTGCACATGAGTCCACTAAATGGGCTTGCATACCTCTTAGGTCTGACTATGGGCTAACTCAAGTTCATGCTACTCGAAACCAACGGAAGGAAAGGAATGCTTATCATATTATCTTGTCGTAATGACCTCTTCCCAACGATGATTCTTCCTTCACAGATTGGATATGTGTAAGATTAAGGGGGTTTGTTTTGCAAAAAGATGACTAATTACGGTTTGAAGGAAAATCTCGCGATAACTTTTGGGATTTGGAGGAGAATCGACGTGAAGGTTGAAGATCTCGGAGTTGGGTATGATGGTTGACAATTACCGGGAAGGTTTAGTGAGTGGAGAGATATGTGGAGAGAAAAAACTTTTTTTTTCTACTACAAAATTCAAGGTTATTAGTGTAATTTTGAATAATATATGGTATACGATAGGATCATGTTTAAGAAATAACATAAATGGTCTATATAGTATATGGACTAGGTTAGGTGTCCTATCGAGTTACAATATACCCAACTTTATGATAGTCACTGATAAGCGCCAATAATACTGCATTTGTAAAACTAGAGATCCTTTTAGTATCCTTACAAATTTTTACAAGTAATCTAACTTAAACTGATAGTTCCAACAAAAAGTTGGTTAGAAGAATGAATAACTCTTAGATTGAACTTAGAATCTATGATGGTCGCTCATAGATACCAAGACGACTCGCTTCATAATTAGCTTGATCAATACTAATTTAATGAATCAGTTTGAACCTAAAGTAAGGTTTGAAAAAGAAACATCCCCTAGGAGGCTTCAAGAAAACACAATATTTTTGTATTCTCCAATGATTTCAAACTTGAATATTAAATGCCTTTAAATAGGTTAAAAAAAAAAAAATCAAAACATAAATAATTCAACTACCAACAAAAGCTATTAAATTAGAATACAAGAAAATAAAACATGACATAAATAGTCGTAGTTCAACTAACAAACACGAAAAAAGTGATATTTATTATCATTTCATTCTTTTTTTAATTTGACACTTAAATTTCTTTTTTGTATTGCTTATTGTAATTGCTCGTTTGAGTAGATGCAAGTGATGAGTGGTCGGATTCATATCAATTACGAATATTTTTTTATTTAAATTATTCGGTGGAATTACCTATTACAACGAAACAATATTTAAAAAATTCATAAAATAAAAAAGAAATTGAGAAAAACTTTCATTGGACCCTTTATTGTTTATTAATGATGCGTCAGAAAGGGCTTTAAAGAAATCTGTGACTCAGCTCGGCCATCTGGACCAGAGACAGAGCCCAAGTTTGAATTAACCAAGCGTTTTCAAGTTGGACGTCCACGTCATATTAAAAAAAAAAAAAAACCAAATTATTATAAATAATAATAATAAATAAATAAATAAATAAGACTAAATGGGGCGCCCGCATATGCCGTCACAATTGATTGAAGCACGCCCCACGGGAAACCCTAACCTCCCCGCCCTCCATACCCGACCAAACATTTCTCCTCTAATTTTAATACACGTGTCCCATTCCAATCTAATAAATTTGCAAAATAATATAATTAAAAACTATAATACACGTGGCATGTGGGCGCCACATGACGAGGACACCTTAAATTCTCCTTTTGACATGTATGGCCATGTCGATTTCTTTTTTAAAGATGATAAAAGTCATCATATCTCCACTTTTATTTATTTATTTATTTATACTTTTATACTTTTTTGACATTTTCCATTAAAATGGAATATGAAGAATAAACATATTTTATTCTGTTTTTAGTATATCCTCACTTTCTATTTTAATTACTACATTACCCCCTACAAAATGAAAGAAGTAATATAGTATGTATTTTTATTTATTTAATTATAAATATAATATTTGTCTGAGTAAGGAATAAAAAGATGTTTTTAATTTATTTTATATTTTTTAAAAAACATTAGAATGCATAATTAAGTGGTTGGTTATGCAAAATCCAAGATTAGAATAAAATTTTAAAACTAAAATACAATAACTCTAATATTCCATATCTGGAAAGATTTCAGAAAAATTTGGAGATAATGAATAATTGAATTATTTAAATCCTATATTTTGAGAAATTAAATACCATTTATACACAAATTATTAAAGGATAAAATAAATAAAAATATCTAATATTATCCTGACATTAAAAAACGTGTTTAATTAATATATTTCCTAAAAAATTAATTACATCTCTTAAATAGAAAGAAAAATATATAGACAAAAAAAGAGAAAGACTGTTCTCTCTCTCTCCTTTGACCCTCCTCCGAGTCTTTGCCTTTAAAATCAAGCGTCTCAAGACAACTTAATATTAATATTATTATTGTTTTTTTGAAAAATAATTATTAAAATTGAAATTCGGGTGAAGAGCAAAAACCCGTTTTTTGGTTTAATTATTTTATTTGGTGGGTGGGATATAGCAGTCTGGGTTTCCTCCTTGATTTTTCCCCCCTGAGGAAGAACAGCAGCAGCAACAACAACAGATGGGGATCGGTTCTGAGGAGGCCATCCGGCAGCTCCGAGCTTTGATGGATCATGGTCAGTGCCTTGTGTTGTTTTTCTTTCTCTCTTCTTAACTTCTTTTTCTTTCTTCAAGCTCGTGTTTGATTTTTCTCTCTCTTCCTCTCTCTTTCCCCCTTTTTTTCTTTCGTATTTTGTTCAATGCCAGTTGGGGAGCAATTGAAGTGCACTTTTCAGGTTTGCATTCTCTATGTCCTCTGTTTTTAGGTCCGATCTGTGTGTTTTCCACGACTTTCCACTGCTCCATTGTTGCTTTGGTTTGGATTTGTTGTTTTGAGCGATCCATGTGTTAAAACATGGATAATCTTTGTACAGAGGAAGATAATAACCTTATTTATCGATATGTAAGAAATTTGAAGCTATTTGGTGAGGAGGAGACCTGTCGGCTGGTTTTCGTTATCAATTTGTTGACCTTGTTCACATTTGTTTAGGGACTGTTTTAGCTACTACTGGAATTTTTCGATCTCTTGGCAATTGATTTTGAGTAGTTGTTCAATAGGATGACTAGTGTGTGCTTGTTTGATGATCTCTGTGTATGGTTGCAGAATGTTCATCAAGGATATCTAACCGAAACTTTGGAGCGGTTCCTGAAGGCGCGGGAATGGAACATTACCAAAGCTCACAAAATGGTCAGATATGATTTACTAATATTCTTAAAGTGTACTGATCCATATGTTGTGCTCATCTTGTTGTGTTCTTTCTGATGTTGCAGTTGGTGGATTGTTTAAACTGGCGAGTTGACAATGAAATCGACATGATGTTAACCGTAAGTATTTGTCCTGCTTAGCTCCTGAGCTTTCTGCTTGGTCAATTGTTCCCTGACTTCTTGCTGTATCAATCCACTGCTCTTCCTTTACAGAAACCTATAGTTCCTGTCGATGTTTACAGAGCGATTCGTGATTCTCAGCTCATAGGACTTTCGGGTTATTCAAGAGAGGTGCATACTACATTTCCTTTAAAGTGGTCGAAATTAACGAACTACTAATATTTCTTCCTGTGTGTAATTTATGTGTTCTTTCTTCTAGGGCCTACCAGTCTTTGCCATTGGTGTGGGACTCAGCACATTTGATAAAGCATCCGTAAGTGTTGTTGTGGAAAATATATAGTTTTGTGCTGGTTAAACATCATCTCCACATTTAAGAATTGTCGTATTTAGGTTTTTATTCCTCTTTTGTTTCTGTACAGGTCAACTACTATGTGCAATCGCACATTCAAATCAATGAGTATCGGGATCGCATAGTCTTGGTGAGCTTTTAGAGTTTATGGTTCTCATCTATGTTTCATTAGGCACAGTATTGACCTTTATACTCTTTGTAGCCTTCTGCATCGAAGAAGTATGGGCGGCCTATTACGACTTGTGTAAAGGTTTTAGATATGACCGGTTTAAAGCTGTCAGCACTGAGCCAGATCAAGGTAAAAATACGTTAAGGTCTATCATTTAAGTTTAGTTTCTTTGGAACGATAATTCAGAGTTCAAAAAGAACATTTTCGATTACTTGATTCAGTTCTTCTGTAGAACTTGCGAGTTCTTCCATATTCAGCTGCTATTTGTACTTGTGTTTTGCAGTTATTAACAATTATATCAACCATCGACGACTTGAACTACCCAGAGAAGACGAATACTTATTTCATAGTAAATGTCCCTTACATATTTTCATCTTGTTGGAAGGTAAGTTTGGTCCCTATAATTTTACTTGCAAGTTTTTAACCGAACTTCTCTGAAATGTTAACTTGAAGATATTTCTTTATCCTGTTAAACACTAAAGGGTGTCTCTTATTTCTGTGTAATTTGTATGCCTTGCAGGTAGTCAAGCCTCTGTTGCAGGAAAGGACTAGGAAAAAAATACAAGTTTTATCTGGTAGTGGAAGAGATGAACTGCTGAAGGTAGGTTGATTTTGATTATTGCTTCATGTTCTGAAGAGAAAGATTGAATTATTGACTTTGAAATAGTTTGAAACTGCCATATATGATCTCATCTACCATGCTCCAAATCCTACCTTGTAACTAATGTTTCATGTCTGATATAAGATAGATTTAATTTTGATGAAAATGAACTGGGTTTGAATTATATACCACTGTGATCGATGTCTTCGATTCAATCTTGTTCATAGCTAGGAGGTTGATTTTTATGCTTTATGTAGATAATGGACTATTCGTCTCTCCCGCATTTCTGCAAAAGAGAAGGCTCTGGATCAAACCGTCATTCATCTAATGGAGCTGAAAATTGCTATTCTTTGGACCATCCCTTTCATCAACAACTCTACAACCATATCAAGCAGCAAGCAGTTCAGGAATCTTCCAGACCGATCAAACAGGGATCTGTGCATGTGAGTCTACCCGAATCAGCTGCAGAAGGAAATGATATTGTCAAAACCATTGAGTTAGAGTTGCACAAGTATGGGAATGGGAACGGAAATGGATTATCCAACTCGCTAGGCAGCCTGAAAATTTGAAGACTGAGGTAATAGATATTATGATGCCTCCTACAGCAGCTCGAAGCAACAGACATTGGCTCTTCATTTCAAGATGTTGAACGCTGCGGGCTGAAAGGTTCAGATTCGAAGCCCTGTCAATGGCAGCATTAGACAAGAAATCTACATATAAGAAAATATATCGAATGTAATTTCACGTATAGACTGGCTAAGCAGTCGAGCTCCGTCGTAGCTAGATAAGGTATGTGCAATGCACTTGTCCTCTAGTCACTGTTCTTTAGTTACCTCCTTGCTGCACAGGCCATTTCATATATATATATATATACTGATAGGCTGCTGTCTACTAAATTTCTAGGCATCTAATGATATAATAAATAGTTTCTTCAAATTAATAGCTTGCTTTATTTCCCTTTCTTTTTCGCATTGAAATAAATTACTTAATTGTCCCCTGTTGTGTTGTTTGATGGGTTCTTTTTGTTTCTCCCCATCCCTTTAGAATCAAGAATATATTTGCTTAAATTTGCACCTGCTATGTTCTTTCATTTTACAGCCATTGATTGATGTCTGAATGTACACGGTTGGTCGAGCTTATCGAGAGATAATAGTCGAGGTTTAATGCTTAAATCTATGCCACCCATTTTGATCATCCATTCCTAGAAAAACCCAAGGTTTCATATCATCCAACAAGATGCTCTGATATCAGGTTTAGCTTTAGATTCTGAAGCAGCTTTGACCCATTAGAGTGTGTACTAATAAGCCTACTTTGGTAGCCCTTTTGGTTATGAAAGCTAAATGTAGATATGTCCAGAAGAAACTTGAGGTGCCACATTCTCCTCCTCTTGACGCCATCGTCGGAGTTCACCTTCGACCACCATTTTCGCCGTCTCCACCATCTCTGCACTCTTTAACGCCATCTCTGTTGCTATCTTGATCTCCTCGATTGCTCTTAAGTTGGCCTCGACCTTTTTCGTAGCTTCACCTTGCCTTGCACTGATTACCTCCACTTCGGCTATGCTGTTTGCCTCCTCCCTTTCTGCTAGCATTTTGGATTCTCTCACCCTTTTACTCAAGGATTCGAACTCGTCCACGGTTAATTTGATCTGTGAAGTAGGCTCCAATTCTTCGGTTGAATTTTCGCTGTGTCTTCCAGCCAAACTCCTCATTTCCTCGAGCGCTTTCTTCTCTGCTTCCTTGGCTTCTTCGGCCTCCCTTTGTACAAACTGTAGTCTTGTCTCTGCTTCCTCCGTGAAGCATCTGTTAGCCTCCGCGTCTCGCTTAAGCTCGGCCGCTTCTTGCATCATCTGTTCGGTCTCTTTCCTTGAAGCTTCAGCTTCAAGTAGAAGCTGTTGGAGTTTCAAACTCTGCTCTCTTCTCTCAGCTAACATCTTTTCTTCTTCTTCAACTTTTTTACTCAACTCCTCTCTCTTCCTCCTCACATTCTCCACTTCCAGTCTCAAGGAACTAACTAAGTTCCTTAGGGAGCTTTCTTCTTCAGAGATTTGCTGCAGAGTCTTTGTAGCTTCGTTAAGTTCAACGGTAACCGCTCTCACGGTATCCATTTCAGAAGCATGGACCTCCTTCATCTTCTCTTGCAAAACCTCGATCTCTATGGTTGTTTCTTTAAGTTTTTCCTCGAGCGAAATGGTCAGCTGAGGATCGATTTCTTTCTGAAGAATCATCACATTCCTTTCCATTTCTTCCCTGGCAGTTTTGTATTCATTGAAACCCGCATCTCTCTCTGCCAAAATCTTAACGAGTTGTTTCTGTGCCTCTGTCGAAACATGCTTAAGATCTTCAATCGACTGTTGCATCGCAGCAATTTGCTTCGACAATTCAACCAACCGATCACTGTTGAGATTTGCCGATCGCTGCGCCTCAGCAGCAAGCTGGAATGCAGCCAATTTCGACTCCAATGCCGCATCGAAATCTTGTCGAATCTTTGTCAGCTCCTGCTTGGAAGCATCAAGTTCGGCAACGATGACTGTGTACTCCGATCTGGCGAAGTCGAGCTCCTGTTTCGAAGAATAACCGCCAGCGCCAGCGATCTCCTTCTGCGACTTAGCAACCTCGAGCTTCTTGGCTTGGATCTTGACAGCCTCAGCAACATCCATAGCAGATTTCATGGACTCGTTGATACAGCAAAGCTTGGTGGTGAGATCTTCCTGCATCTGCTTGGCCTTCTCGAGCTCAGCAAGCGCTCTGGACTTGGTAGTCTCAGAACTCTGAAGATGTTGCTTGATCTTGCTGAGCTCTTTCTGAGCCAACAAAAGCTGTGTTTCCTTTTCCAATACATTCTGTTTGGAGGACCACACCAATTCTTTTAGCCTTCCATTTCATGCAAATAAATTCAAGCTTTTATTTATTAAATTCTTTTTTAGACGAACACACGACTCTCCACAATGATATGATATTGTCCACTTTGAGCAAAGTTCTCATTGCTTTACTTTGGGTTTCCTGGGCTTCCCAGAATACCTCATACCAATAGAGTTAATATTTCTCACTTATAAACCCATGATCATTCTCTAAATTAGCCGATGTGAGACTTTCATCATCTAACACCTCTCTTCAATCGAGGCTCGATTCTTTTGGAGTCTCAGTCATTTTTTACTAACTTCGAAGAGATTCTTTTTTCTTTTGGAGTCATTTTGTTCAATATTTGAGGATTTACCCATCTATTGTGGCACGACTAAGTTTAGGACATGGGTTTCGGAGCTATCACAATTTTTTTTTGTATTTCACAATTATATGATTAAAACTCGAGATTCAAAATAGAAAAAAAATGTTGTATCAAAGAGACAAATAATATGTATATATATAATAATCATCCTTTGTTTGAATACTTAATTTTATTTTTAAAAATTGACTTTTAAAATTCAAACATGTAAAAAAAAATATTAAAAAAAAAAAAGAAGTAAAACTAGCCTAATTTATATATAAAAAGTACAAATTAAAAATGAAATAGATTACCCATAAAAGGAAAAAAAGGTACAAATACCTCGGAAGAAAGCTGTTTGTTTCTTTTAACGGTTTGTTTGTCCTTAGAAGAAACAACTTCTCCAAACAAACTAACGGCAGCCCTCACGGATTGAAATGGTGCTCTTGTGTCTATCTCTCCCACCTCTGCCTTTGGAGACCCTTTTTGTTGATCTTTTGCACGAAAGTTCGGCATTCTTCTATATCGATATCTACGCTTCTTTTAACCTATAAGTTTGTTTCCCGAGTCCTATCTTTTTAGAGTCGTGACAAAGAATAGTTTCAATTCCTCTAGATGATAGAGAACAAAAATCTCACCGATATTCAGAGTAGACTGTTCATTGTTCAATCTTTTAGTTGTTTTCTTTAACTCTAACTCGATCAACTCATTCAGGTGTGGAAAACACCTGGTTACAATAACAAACTCATTATGCATGGAAAGTAACCAACAAAACAAGTCTTAAAAGACTTTGGTGGGCGAATGATCCCTAAATGTGTCGTTCTAATTGGATGCTTAGGAAATGGTTTAAGAAATTTGAAATAAGCAATATCTATTTATAGCTTTAAACTCTGAAATGGGTAAGAACTCTCCATCACCACAAATTGATGTGCGGTTTAAAATGAGTCACTTACCAACCAAGTATTTTGTGGGTAAGAAAGGCCTCTTTAGTTGTCAACACTTAACCAACTAATTCATTTGTGGTTAATATTTGTTCATAAAACATTTTTTTTCCCGCAAAACAAATAATTAATGTTATGTGACATATGAAAGGATTCATCCTAAGATTCTTGAACAAAAGTTTAATAGAGTCAAAGTTTAGATATCTCTATTTTGCTACGTGAAATTTGCCAAAAGAGAGGAGAACACGTTCTGGCAGTGGACCGACACGTGTTAAGTCGACTAGAGCAACATGTCAAGTGATCTGTGGAACACATTGCTCGGATTGGACTCGACCCAAAACTGATATACCAACCCGCGCGTGACACGATTCAACTTCCACCCATCTGAATTGGCCCTCGAGAAACGTGCCAACAAAGAATATTAAAGGGAATCCACATGCCACTCGACTTACACACACACCGTTTGACCTGCATCCACCTATCAATGGATGACACATGACAATATAGAGGCATGACTTCCCCTCCCTTCATGCGTGTGACACCCGCACGTGAGACACTCCCACTCGCGCATGAAAGCGCATGGGTTGCGTGTAAGTCGTATTTTCGATCCCTTCTGTCTCCATTTGTTTTTTTCTTTCGTCCTGGCTTCAATATTGACCCTAATTTAATTTAAATTAGGACCTACCCGTGAATTTTTAGGAAATTTGGAGCTTACACAAGCTAGGGAGGTCATACTTCATCCCAATGAGTTGCCTCACAAACTTTAGGCAAGTATTATTTGTAGGGATCGCTCGGACATACTGACATGTAGGCTTATCTTACTTTAAGTGGTTAGATTGTGCATGTTTAAGACTTAAATGAACTATCAATGGAGGAGACATGTCTATTAAATGCTTTTTACTCTACTAGGAGGATAGAAAATTTGTGACATGGAAGTTATCTCTTCATTGAACATGTTTGAATTGTATAATTAAATTATATGGCAGATTCAACGAATGTACAAATGAATTATCTTTGCTTACTTGATAGATAATTATATCTTTGCTTATTTGATATGTGTATTGTGTTTATAATGTGATATGTTGAACGATATGATACGTTGAACGATAGAATATGATATGATATGATATGATACAGTTGCATGACATGATGCATTGTACAATATGACATGTTGTAATGATATGATATGGATTGATATATGATATGCCCACATATGTTAGGTAACATTAAAATACAAATAGATGTCACATTATGCCTTGACGAATCATGATAAGCTATGAAGTGTCATGATATGTTATAACATGTACGACATGCGATGAATGTTTTGAGCTAAGAAGATTTATGACGTACAACTCCCGAGACATGTTTTGATGCTATGCTGTAAATGAAATGAAGAAAAAGGGAGTTGTCTTACGTGATTTATTTACTATGTAAAATGTTGGGACCTCATGCAGAATGTATGTTCACATACATGGGGATATTTCTCATTATGATGAGTACGAACGCCTACTTTATGAAAAGAAAAATGATCGTCATGTTTAACACGATGCTATAACGGTCGCTATTCCTTCGGAGTGTCTAGCAATAACACCAAAGATGCTAGTCCAACCAGTACGAGGCCTAGGAGGTGTAAGAACCATCTGGTGGGTCCATATTTGCACGTATGTGTCGTGTGTAGAGTAGTAAATACACATTTGATGACCCAAACTGGAAAGTCGCCTAAAAGAATAAGGTTTTAAATGATAGGTCACATTCATGTAGTATGTGTTTTCATTCCCTAACCTCAATAGTGGG